TTGATGGACATTTGGGTTGTTTCTACCTTTTGGCTATTGTAAATAATGCTGCTGGGAACACTGGTGTGCAAATATCTGCCTTCAGTTCCCTTGTGTATATACCCAGATGTGGAATTGCTGGATCAAATGGTAATTCCATGTTTATATTCTTAAAATTTATTTTAATTTTTTATTATTATTTTTTAAAACATTAATCAAAAAGAAAAATTAGTCACCAGTAATCCCACCACTCAAAGATAACCACCACTAACAATGGAGTGTTTATCCTCTCAGACTTTCTAATCTACCCAAATACCCACAAGAAAAATATCATTTTAATCCTCTCAGCCATCACCTCACTGATAGGTAAGGAAACTGAGGCTTAGTGAGCAGAGGCTGTAGCTGTGACTGGGGGCGTCAGTTGGGTTGGGAGGGGAGGCTGAAATGTCTTCAAGCTCTCAGAAGAGCCAGTACTCAGAAATCAGGTAGAAATGCAGGTAGCTCTGCAGCTGATGAGGCTAAGGCCCAAGGAGGGGACAGCACTGGCTCAAGTCCACACACCAGATTAGTGACAATTTTAGAATCAGAATTCAGAACTCCCTGATCTGGGCTTTTCCCACCATGATACCGCCCAGCCTTGCCCTGTCTGTGTGGTTCTCAAACTTCAGTGCACATCAGGGCCGGCCCTGTGGCTTGGTGGTTAAGTGCGCGTGCTGCGATGCTGGTGGCCCGGGGTTCGGATCCCGGGTGCGCATCGAGGCACCACTTCTCCGTCCATCCTGAGGCCGAGTCCCACATACAGCAACTAGAAGGATGTGCAGCTATGACATACAACTATCTACTGCGGCTTTGGGGGGAAAAAATAAAATAAATAAAATCTTTAAAAAAAAAAAAACAAAAAAAACTTCAGTGCACATCAGAATCCTGATTAAAGGAAACCTCTGGGCAAACCCACCCCTGGAGTTTCAGGACAAGCAAGTCTAGAGCAAGGCTCTGGAATCTGCAATTTTTTTTTGTAAGACCAGCCTAGAGCTAACATCTGATGCCAATCCTCTTTTTGCTGAGGAAGACTGGCCCTGGGCTAACATCTGTGCCCATCTTCCTTTACTTCATATGGGACGCCGCCACAGCGTGGCTTGACAAGTGGTGCGTTGGTGCGCACCTGGGATCTGAACCTGCGAATCCCAGGCCGCCAAAGCGGAGTGCACACACTTAACCACTGCGCCACCAGGCAGGCCCCTGGAATCTGCATTTTAAGCAAACACACAGGGGATCCTTGGACAACACTTTAGAACACTGTCCTGGACCATTAGCCAAGGCATTTGATTACTGACAGCACTAACTTCTCCCCAGCTCCCCAAGTGTCCCTTGGGAGCAAGGGAGTAAGAGTTACCTTTGAGTCACCCAGCACCTAGCCTGAGCATGATTTGACATTCTGGGAGATCCTCTGTCTCTCCCTGAAGCCCCACAGTGCCCATTTGCTCTTCTCGGAAGACCCTCTCACTTTCTGTTCTGCTCGGTGGTTATTTATGAAAGTTCCTCATCATCCCCGCTCAGTGGAATGGCGCTCCCTGACTCCAAGGGCTGGCTGCTCTGCGCTCCTCAGGGCTGCCCTTACCACACTCAGCCACACACTGCCTATCTCCTGCTGGACTGCAAAGCATGGACCTTATATAATCTACTTCCTCATTCATTCACTCAACAAAAATTCTGAGAACATGCTAGGTTCTGGGGATGCAGAAGAGCCTGTCCATTTCTCATCACCCATGCCCTGGTCCAGGCAAACACTGGACCTTGTTGGTGCTATAATTCATCCTCCTGTACCTTCCATTGCCCCCCTCCAACTCATCCTCCATGAAGCAGAATTTTAAACATAAATATGATCATGTCACTCCCCTACTTTAAGCCTTCCAGAGGCTTCTAACTGTTTTTAGGATGAAAAACAAAATTCTTACATCCAGGACCTGGCCTGCCTGTGCTAACACCGCTCCCCTCTGACCCCTGTCTTCCAGCCCTGTCCCTCCCTCACTGTGCTTGCAATCACCTTAGCCTTCTTGGAGTTCCTCAGACCTGTGAGCCTTCAGTGGCCCCTGGCCTGGGATACTGTCCGCCTCACCACTGACACTGAGACAGAGTGTGAAGTACAAGATGGATATCAGGATCCACTCCTGTAAGAGGAAGCAGGATCAGGCCGAGAAAGAAAACCTGTGACGCAGGCCTGCCAAAGCCTCAGCCAACCTCCTAGGGAAGTCCTGGAGCAAACACCGCTCCAGTGCCCCCCCCCCGAGTCTTGCTTAGTCACTGAATAGAGGCTTCTGGAGGGAGGGCGTGGCAGCAAGGTGGCTTTGTGCAGGGGAGGCAGACCCTGAAGGCACTGACAGGTGGGGGCTGTCTGCTGACCCCACCCACTTGGCTGAAGGCAAGTTCGCCCTTGAGGAGTGAGGGCACATCTCCATGTCTACTGTACCCACCGGTACTGCCATCCCTTATCATCCCGCCAGGCCCCTTCCTCTGGTAAACCTTCCCTCAGACCCCCGGGCTCTACGTGCTCATAAAACTCTGTCCTTTTCTCCCCAGCAGTTATCACCGTTTGAAATGACATTTCTGTGTGCGATTATCTAACTGATATCTGCCTTCCCTAAGAAACTGTATGTTCTGTGTGAGCAGGGACTGTCTGTGTGACTCACTGTAGTCCCAGAGCTCATTCCAGTACCTGGCGCATGGTAGGTGCCCAGTACGAACTTGTTCAGTAAGGAATGAAGACTGGCACCATGTCTTGCCAACATATGACTCTCCCAACTGTGTGGGCCGTCAAGAGCTTGCTGTGTACTTGAAGCTCTCCTCCAGCGCACAGGGAGGGCATCATGACCATTTCAATCAGGTTTTATATTCAATATTTAGAAGCCCGCTCCTGCCCCTTCCCAATCTGGTCTAGAGGGCAAAATAAAGGCAGAGTTCACACTGTTACCACCATCATCATCACAATTACCACCCAAAAGTCTCTTAAGGGCTCGGTGCATTGTGATGGGCAGCTCAGATATCCACACCCAGAGAGCTCCATAAGCCAGGTCCCTGTGTGGATGGGCTGCAGCACTGGGTTAGGAGCCACAGCTCCTGCTCTACACTTAACTGTGCCACCTCAACAAGTCACTTCATCTCTCTGAGTCTCCTCTGTAAAATGGGGACAATGCCTGCCCTTTCTACTTCATTGATGTCTATCAGGTTCAATACAGTGACAGGCAAGAAAGTACTTTGCAATTGTCAAGTGTAGCGCACAAGAAAGCAAGGGAGCTTTCTTCTTATGCAATCAGGACAGGTTGGCAAAGGACATATTTGGGGCACTACTTGTTTTCTGCAATGATGACGTGGGAACCCACGTAGATGGGCTGTGTTCTGAGCGTTGTTTTTCCCAGTTGTGCAAAATGATTTGTGCTTACCTCTCTATGCCTACCCTCCCTCCCAGCTCCCCTGTCCCTCCTGCTCAGGAGTGGAGACAGCAGGAAGTGCACCAAGTCGTGGGTGAACAGTGAGGGACTGTGTTTACCTCATATGCAGGTCAAGGTTAAGTGTGTTTTGGAGGTGGAGGAGAGTGTGGGGGTGTATATCTACCCAACTGGGCAGAGCGGGTGAGAATGTGACATTGATGGCAGTGCAGTCCTTAGAGAAGCTAAGCTCCCTGGGGGAGAGTCTTTTACCTGGAGACTAAATACCTGGCCCTTGAGACAGAGGCTGGGAAGGAGCTAGTGTAGACACAGGTGCTGGGGGTGGAACCAGTGATAAGAAGCCCAAATATCTTTCTAGGGCCCTCAGTGAGCCAAACCAGTTTGCCAACATAGGAACACTCAGAGAGATCTTGGGTTTCTGTTGCTCTTCCCACCCTCTTTTTCCCTTTATCAGTAATCAAATTATTTAATCAAAGTATATGGCATTCTCTTGACAAGGATGAACAAGAGCAACCCACAGCACGAGGTTCCAAACTCTTAGCTTTTACAGTTACCTCGTTGAACTTTTCCCACAGCCCCATGAGGTACGTTACCTCATTTTACAGATGGAGAAACGAAGCTTACAAGGGCTAAGTAACATGCTCAAACCTAGATTTTGTAGTACCTTCTCCCCTACACCGCTGTGTTTTTTACGTGCCTCCTGCCCCCTACTTTCACAAATCCAATGTGAGTGTTTTTGTTGGGGTGAGGGAGCTCTGGACTGTTTTTCTGCCTGAAAACACCTAGATACAGAATTTCCAAGACCAGAAGGGACTTCAGATGTCATTTAATCCAATTTTTTTTGCAGATAGAGAATCTGGGGCCCAGAGAGGGTGACTTCTCCACACCCTCTCGGTCCATTTCGATGTCTTCCAGTCCAACTCTCGCACTGTACTCGCTCTGGCTGAGCCAGAGTGCCTTTGCCCGGAAATATCTTTGCCAAAAATAACAGCTACTCTGTGCTGAGCATTCATTCTTCGACAAATATTTACTGACTGCCTACTACGTGCCGGGAACCCTTAGAGGTGCTGTGAATACGCAACAGGGAAAACGCCGGCCCTGACCTTCTGGAGCTTCTATGGTTAACGGGGGAGGTAGACCAAACGCCAGTAGAAAGTATCTAAACAAGATAATTTCAGACGCCTTGAAGGAAACAAAAAGAAGTAATGGAGGTGGGGGAGGGCTCCAGACGGAGCGGTCAGGAAAAGCCTGACCACTTGGTATACGCCAGGTGCTGGTCCTTTAATTCTCACCACCCTTACAGGCTGTGGGCAGATCTCCGTTTCGTGACAAGGAAACCGACGTTCAGAGGGATAAGAGTGGCAGTCAAGTCCCAAACTCCTAACCCCCACTTCCTACCAGCCCCCGGCGAGCGGCCGCTGCCACCGTCAGGCCCTGGATGATGAAACTCGGGGCGAGGACTGCACCATCTCTCAGCCTGCGTCCTTGCAGGTGCTGGGGGTGGGGGGCGGAGGGAGTGGGAGGCGGGATGAGCCTCCAGGCAGAAGCTGCAAATACCTCTAAATTCGCAGAAGGCTGAGAGGACAGCCCCTGCCTGGGCCCCGCCCGGCTCCCCATCCCCTCTGCCCGGACAAAGAGCCCGCCCAGCCCCGGCAGAGCCAAGCGACCACTCCCGCCTCCTGCCCGGCCCTCGATCGGGCCAGCGCGGGGCACTATGGGACTTGTAGTTCAGCCAACTCCCCTCTCCTGCTCCGGAAACAGGCTGGGGAACTACAAGGCCCAGGAGCCAGCGGGCAGGCGCGGGGTGGGCTCACGGGCGGTGGGTGTGCGAGCGCAGGGAGCCGGGCGGTGCGGACTCCGGGCGCTGGGATGCGGCTGGGGGCGCCGGAGCCCGGGAGCCGCTCCAGGCGTGCGCGCTAGCCGGGCGCGGCGAGGAGTGGCCGGGCGGCGACAGGCACGTACATGCATGCCTTGGGCGCAGCCTTTGCAGAACCCGGTTGTGCAGCGCTTGGGCTCTGCAGTGGCGCGTGGAGGGTCCGAGTCGCCGGGGGATGGGCACCCAGCCCCGGAGCCAGGCTGGCACCGCTCGCTGAAAGAGCCCTTGTCTGGGCTTGGGGGACAGGTGCCGGCCTTGGGCTGTGCGCGACGTGTTCGTTCTCTTTCTCTTTTTGTGCCAAGGTTTCTCTGGGCGGGCGCGCTATGCAGCGGGCGGCGGCGCTGGTCCGGCGGGGCTGCTGCCCCCGGACCCCCGGACCCTGGAGCCGTAGTCAGAGCAGCGCGGCCGCTGAGGCCTCCGCGGTGCTCAAGGTGCGGCCCGAGCGGAGCCGGCGCGAGCGCATCCTTACGCTCGAGTCCATGAACCCGCAGGTGAAGGCGGTGGAGTACGCGGTGCGGGGACCCATCGTGCTCAAGGCCGTCGAGATCGAGAACGAGCTGCAGCGGGTGAGCGCGGGCGCCGCGGACCCCGGGGCTGGAGGGCCGGGCGGAGGGGGCAGGGGACGCTGATGGGGGGAAGAGCAGCAGCTGTCCCCTGCTGGGGTCCCCCCGCGGGACCGCCTTCCATCCCCGTGGCCAGCTCCTTCTTTCGGCCAAGCTTGGCTAAAACAGGAGAATGCCCTCCTCCCATCCCTTCACCCACTAGTGCCCGGCACCTGGCACGAAGTAAGGCCTTCAGATACGGTTCACTTGTTGAACTGAATTCATCAATTTTAATTGAGGGACCCGGAGTGCCAGGCGCTGCTCGTTATGTGGCTGTCCTACCCGCGTGGAACCAAGATCCACTGCGGGGGAGGGGGGACAGCAACAAGCAGTAAAGAAAAAACTAGAAAATTTCAGATAGTGAATAAGTGCTTTGAAGGAAGTAAAATGGAGGAGCTGTGAAATGGGGGTGCTGGATGGCAGTGGTGGGAAGGAGATCACTTTAGGTAGTAGGGCAGGGAGTCTCTGAGGAGACTTGCGTTTGTTCCCGAAGCTTTTTCTTTCTCTCTCTGATACCTTTTGGGTCATTCTGCCGGGAATGGTTCCCTGACAAGAGTAGGGGTGTGGAGGGGGTCCTGCACAGTCCTTCCTTTAGTCCTCTTCTGGAACCTTGATTGACAGCCACATTTTGTTCTCTGAGGACACAGTCACCCCCAATGGGTAGTCAGAGGCTTGGGCCTTTTGGGCCTTGGTAGCATGGCCCTGGGACTTTCTTCGTCTTGGTGGCTGGCTGGCTGGGATCCTGGCTTGAATTCACAGCTGTGTGTAAAGTGACCACACACCCAGAAGTGATTTCTGCCCCCCTACAAGAGGGGTGGCTGGGGTGGGTGTAGGAGATGCCCCTGTAGGACAGAGTTCTAATCTGAGTGGAATTCAGGAGGCGGAGTCGAGAGGGGTAATGTGAAAAAAGTAAATACTCCTAAGATCTATAAGAACTGTGGAAATAGTCACCCAGCTGCTTGCTCAAGATAGTTCTAACCCAAAATGGGGGTGGGGGAGTGTTCCTTGATCTTGCCCTTAGAGGCACTAGAATTGGATGTCTCAGGGGTGAATTGGTCACTTAGTGTCCCTTGAATGCATGGGAGGAAGTCGTGGGGGGACCACAACACTTGGTCCCCATTCCCACGGGGACTTTGGAGATTAGATGAGCTCATTGCTGGCTGAGACCTCATTGGGACACCCAGTTCTGCTGACTCAAACAGTGAGCTGGACAAGTCAGAGTCTAGCGTCTCCCTCTGACTTCTTGCAGGGCTAAGTTTAAAGTTTGATCCACAACGGCTGGCTGGGTTTCTATGCCTTCCTGGCCCAGAGGTGGTTCAGGGGCAGAGAACACCGGTTTTTGTTGCTTTGCTTCTTGTTGATATCTGGCAGACCGCAACTGGCCCTCCTTGAGACAACAGTCCCCCTGTTAAAACAAAGCTGAGATTAAGTTGTTCCTGGGCTATCACTTTACGGCTGATTTCTTGGATTCCAAGGATTATCTCTACCTTTTGCTAAATAGCAAGTTGGGTGTGGGCTCCATGAAGTATGAGGATGATGAGGACAGAAAGGGGCGCTGTCTTTGCCTTCAGGAAGCTGACCGCCATATTGTTCTCTGGGCCTGAGCCTTTCCTCCCCAAACTCTGTAAGGATTGATAGGATTTTTTAGCAAGTGGAGAAAATGTGAGAGCAGTCCAGGTTGGAGCAGGACTGTGAGCAAAGACAGAAGGTTGGGAAGTTCTGGGCCTTTGGGGAAAGGGATTGGTGCTGTTTGGAGAGCACTGGCAAAGGGATATGGGAGATGAATGAGATGGAAAAGGCGGACTAGCGTCTTGTGTACCAGCTTCAGAGCTTTATGGTGCAAAGTTTTGGTGTGAAGTGGGGAACCAGGGAGGGTTTCCAGCAGGTTATGGCTCAATGATTGAGGTGGACAAATTTCTTGGTCTTTTGGGGCAGAAACACCCTATGATTTCTGGGACAGATGCCTCACACCCCTATACCCTACCCCTGAGTCAGTTGAGACGTTCTGTCTGTCCACCTGCGTTCTCTGGTGCTTTCATTCAAGCTCGTCCCTTCTTGTTCTCTTCTCACTTGGCTGAGTCTCAGTTGCCTGGCTCTAGGTGCTGGAGACACGGCCCCGGCCAAGCCAGCGTAGCCTCACTGAAACCTTTCATTCTTGGGAGACAGCCGCCCTCTGCTTTGCTAGCTTAAACAGTGCCCCCTCTGAGACAGTTGTATTTTCCCAGTCATTTCTTTCTTTTTTTTTTTCACTTGGCTTGGCTTGACCTCTGTTTTTCTACCTCTGTTTCGAACTGTAGTGATCAAAATGACTGATGTTATAAAGGCTTTGATTTGGTTAGAAATGGGATGGGCAAGGATTTGTAGGAAGTAGGGTGACTTGGAGTGAATCTCAGATCCCCCTGGACTTTGGTTTCCCTAGTGTATAAATGAAGGGAGGTGGCTTGGTGGGCCCCGGGTTCCCCCCTACCCTGACTTCTGTACCTCCTTGTCCATCTGAAGGTGTCCTGGGGACCCTGAGATGGCTCCCAGTGGTACCAAGGCCTTGATGCTGCCTTACCGAATCATTTTGCCAGGTGCTCTGCAAACAGTACCGGCTGTTGGGCTGGACACGTGGGCTGGTGTTTGACTTTGGGGTGGCTTGCTGGGCGAGTCCCATCCTTCTTGCTTCTGTGGTAGGAGTGGAAAATGCTCAGGAGAGCCTGAAGGTGGAGGGGAGGTTGGCTAAGTGGGTGTGACAGGGACCATTCACTGAGGCCTCCTCCAGCTAGTCTGTGTGCTCTCAGGTAAGCCCTGTTTCTCCCTGACAGCAGCTCCAAGAGGGAGAACCTGTCAGCTTTTCAGATCCCGATGTTCATTGGGGGCAGCACTTAAAATAAGCTGCAATTAGTAGGAGTCTGGAAAAGATCTGTCAGTTCTTCCTCAACCTGCTTCTTCTTCCTTTGCTTTATTGGAGGAGGGGAGGAGGTTGGCACAAGTGGAGACAGAGGGATGACTTTATTTCTATTAGTGAAAGTACGCACTGTTGGAGCAAAACATGCATGAATAGAAGGAAAAACTGATTACTGCAGTCCTGTGCCACATAACGACGTTTCGGTCAAGGACTGACCGCATATGCGACAGTGGTCCCATAAGGTTAGGACCATATAGCCTGGGTGTGTAGTAGGCTCTACCATGTAGGTTTGTGTAGGTACACCCTATGGTGTTTGCACAATGAGGAAATGACCTAACAATGCATTTCTCAGAACGCGTCCCCGTCGTTAAGCAACATGTGACTGTACTGTTAACTCAGTGTGTGCTGCCTCTAAACAGAGAGAGAAACAGAGGGTGCTGGAGTTCAGGGTTCCAGTTAGCAGAGAGCCAAGACTGGAAGCCTTGGGCATGCTGAGCACAGGTGGTGAAAGCTCATTGGTCATTTTTGTTAGAGTTTAGATGCTACTTTAAAATAAAGAAACTTGTAGTGTAGGCTTCTGATGGGATGAACCCTCCACCTGCCCACCCTGCCCAGGTCACCACGGACCTGCATCCTGGGCTTTGCCTTCATGTGCTGTGGGCCTCAGACAAGTCGTTCAGAGCACCTTGGCCTCAGTTTATTCCTCTGCAAAATGGGGTCCATTTCTCTCTCCTAAAGACTAGTTTCAGATGTTAGTGATGGTGCAGCTAGAAGCGAATTAGAACTCTTAAGAGTCTTTGTTCTCATGCTAAGGAGAGTTCCTTGGGGAGGAGTGCCAAGGGTCCCTCTTTCCCTGCCTTCCTCCTGAGTCTCTCTGGGTCTGGGAACCTGCTCTGCCGGGTTTGCTCTCCTGCCTCGGCCTTGCTGTCATGAATTATCCTGTTTGGAGCCCCTTCAACTTTCATCCCTGCTTTTCAGCTTCTACGGTTGACCCTTCACAGACCCCCAGAGCCCAGGGGCCGACACCCAGCCTTCCCTGCTGCAGTGGCTAGGAAGCTCGGCCCTTGGAGCTCCTCCCGCCTGATTTCTTCATCCTGTTCTTGGGTTCTCTAGCTTCACTTGTCTTTCCACGTGGTGGGGCCAGACCCTGTGCTCAGCCTCGATTTCCTGAGCTGTGAAAGGTACCTGTTTGCAGGGACCATGGGGACTAGTTGGAGTCAGTCTCTGGGTCCTCCTTCTGGAGCTCTCTGTAGGACTTCCTGCCTGCCCCGGTCCATCCATTGCCTTGGGGCCTTGCACGAGGCCCTCTCTCCCTCCTCCATGCCCAGCCTGGGCTCTGAAGGGTGGTGGCCCCTCCTGTCTTACTGCCGTCCCGGGGCATGGGTGATCCATAAGTAGTTGTTGAATGAGAGGGAGGTTCTCTGCGGAGTAACCATCCAACCAGGCCTTCCCCCCACCTGTCACATGAAATGACAAGCCATCCCTTGCTCTAGGAAACTGCCTGAGCCTGTTAGAATCATCCATCGTCCCCTTGACTCTCAGGGTAATGCTGGGCCTGTCAACTGGGAAGGACAATGATAACTCTTTTCTCCTTCTCCCCACTAATGCTCTCTGAAATACGCCATCCCCAGGGCCTGGGGACCTGCTCCCCGGATCCCTACTTGAGCTGAATGGTGGGAAGGGAGCCCCCCTGGGTAGGACCTCTTCTCTACCCCACAGAGAGGTGTCTCTGGGCAGGATGGGTGCAAGTGGATTAGAAAGGAGAGCTCTAGGATGTGTGGGAGGGAACTAGGATGCTACGTGCTGACCTGGTGGGCTCCTGGGGGCTGGGCCGAGGCCAGGTCACCATTGAGTGTGCCTGCCACGCCTGGATGAGTCACTGTGGGCAGGAGTCTGCCCCTGCCTCCCTGGTATTTTCCAGCCCTTGTAGACCTCGTGTGCCTAGATGCAGGATTCTGCCCAGAACAGCCTCTGTATGGAGGCCCTTCTCTGGGTAGGCTGGTCCCCTGCCCATTCAAGGGAGCCATTTTCCCACCCCCGCAGCTCATCAATCATAGCAGAGTGTCTGGGGTCTGCGGGCACCCAGACCCAAGAAAGGGGATGTTCAGTGTTCCCAGGCTTCTTGTCAGCAGGCCCCTCCTTGGTTGAGCAGGGCAGGGGGAGGGCACGGGAAAGGGACATCCAGGGCTCTGTTCCAGGCAGTATTCTCTCCCTTCATTGGGCTGGCCAAGGTCCCGCAGCTGTATGTTGTTTCCTGGCCCTCGACTGTGACAAATTTACTCCCTACCGGGGAATGGACTGTGCCACACCATGGAAATCACCTGCGTTCAGCTGGCTGGGCCTGGGGGGCTGTGGCAGTTCAGTCAGACTGTCAGAGGCTCCTGTGCCAGGAGCCCAGGCCAGTGCCAAGGGGTGGCTCAGGCCTGCTGCTTTGCACACAGTGGCCTGGGTCACTCCCACATCCCCATCCTTGGTGCTTGCCTTTGGGATGACCCCTGAGGACACACGCCCCACAGCCTGTCTCCAGGGTGCCTGCTCTCATCCCTGGCCTAGCCCCAGAGCAGTGGGGGGCACTGGCCCTCTGGACACTGGCTGCTTCTCCAAGCCCCCAGGAACCTCTTTCTATATTGCCCAACCCTCAAGAACTTGGTAGAAGGGGCACAAGGGAATTAAAAGGCCTCATTTCCCCCCAGGAACAGCTTTTGGAGAGTTACAGGGCCCTGTTTTTGAAGGTCCAGGGCTATTTCTGGGGTGCCCTCTTCAGCCCCCCATGTGTCGTCACTCCAGAGGCAGCTGGAGAATTTTGTATGGGAGGGGCTGAGGGGCAGCAAATGAGGTTCGGGAAGACTGGTTGGCAGCTGCTCTCATCCCTTAAGCCCACTGGTTTTACTTAAGGTGTATATTACTGATTAAAAAAAGAAAGTTTTCTAAAGTTGCTTTTATTCACATATTGTGTGAAATGGAGAAAAAGACAAATGTCACAACCATAGAATTGTATCTTTAAAACTTGTATTTAGGGTGCCTTTGGGGAAAAGGCAGCTGGAGACGGGAAGGTGGCCAGGCCTTGTACCCAGGCCACCCGTTGGCACTGCCACCTCCTCGCCCCGCCACCTCCCTCTGTCATGACCCTCGCGACCTCGTTCCTGGTCCGGCTTTGTAAGATGATGACATTTGTACTCTGCCAAGTGCTGTCACACTGTTTGTCTCAGATAATCCTTTCAGCTGCCCTGGGAGGTCCTTGAACCTGCTGTTGATTCTAACTCTTCCAGTGGCTAATTCTGGATTTATCAGGCAGCTGTGTGGAATTCCCACGTTTCCAGGTCCCCACCTTCCTCTATCCAAACTGCATTTTCTCCTTTGCAGCAGCAAGGGTGGACTTCAGTCACCTCCCAGTGACGCCCTCGCTGGGGTCTCTGAGTTCCCCCTCGCCGTGTGATCTCTCTTCTGTGCTAAACACAGTGCTCAGATAGTGACCTCAGTTTTACTCTTCAGCCAGTCTTTTCATCCCTGATGCTTTTTTTAAAAAATGTGAAAATTAGCCCAGGGCTCATTCTTCGTTCTTCAAAGCCAAGGTTGCAAGGGAAGACCTGTGAGGTCCCTGCTGATGTGTTTTCCGGAGGAGAGGTGGCTGCAGTGCCCCTGGCCGTTGACTCAGGCTGTCGGGGAGCTGCGCTTAAGGGTGGGCCGGAAGGGTGGGCTCCTCTCCCTGACGCCTGGCTTCTGCCGCTGCTGACCCCTGCTCCCTCCCACCATGTTTGCACAGGGCCCTCCTTTAGACATCCCTGTGAGGCAAAGGTCAGGCTGCGGACCTGCGGCTGCCCCTGGGTGCTCCAGCGGCCCGGGGAAGCTCTTCCAGCCTTCTCAGAAAGTGGGATACGGGGGGCACAGTGGTTAAGAAGAGTCATCTTTGAGTCTGGCTTCAGTCCCAGTACTTGTGTTTATCAATTATGTGACTTGGGGCAAGTTGCTTAACCTTTTGAACCCTCAATTTCCTCATCTGTAAATGAGATTAATACTGGTTTTTCCTCACGGGTGGTTGTGAAGGTTAAATGGAGTCAGGCATGTCAAGAGTTTGGCATTATGTCTGATACCTGATAAGGCTGAAAATAGGGTTGCTTATTAATATCCCGTGGGAGCACTGCGTGACCTCTGGAATCTACGGTCTGAGAGTCTCTAACCACCTGTTGCCTTCTCTCTGCTCAGGGTATCAAAAAACCGTTCACGGAGGTCATCCGTGCCAACATTGGGGACGCCCAGGCCATGGGCCAGCAGCCAATCACCTTCCTCCGACAGGTAAGCTGGCCCTCAGGAGCAGAGGCCCCTGGGAGAGCAGGGGACCGGGGGTGGGAGGGCCATCTCCTCCCACCTCTGCCTCCTTGCCTGTCAGGCCCCCTCAGGACACAGCAGGCACCGAATCCCACAGTGGGTGCCGTTGGGGTAGCAGCCCCTGCAGTGCCTGCTGTGCCCTTGTTCTCTCCCTCAGCCTCCTCCCCTTCCAAAGTGGTCTCAAGCTCCTGAACCCATGTTGGGGTTGCTCTGGTGTACGAGGCCCAGGGCTGCTCTTCCCCGGTGCGTGGTCCTGGGTGCTGCATTCAAGCTTGATGGGTGAGGGCAACAGAGAGGTGGGCAGGAGAGGAAGAGGCCCAGTGGGCTGGGAGGTGGCGTGTGGGGGTCCAGATACAGCTTCCCAAGTGAGACACCCAAGGTTTGAGTGTTGGCTCTGCTGCTTAGCAGCTGGGTGGCTTTGAACAAGTGGGGATCGTCAGAGAATGGCCTCAGAGGACTGCTGGGGGCCTTGTGGGGCAATGAGGGGGTAAAGGCCTCGCCCATGGCCAGCAGGAGAGCATGGTGCATGGCAGCCGTAGTCAGCTGCTGCTCTCCAGGCTGCCTGCCCGTGTGACCGGCTCACTCCTGAGATCTCCAGGAGGCAGGTTTCAGGGTTTCAGTTTGAGCACTGACTACAAGGATGCCGCGTGGGCTGACATGATGGGATTGGTGGGCTGGAGGGAAAAACAACAGGATGGGAGAGGGCCCTAGGGCCACCTGAACAGAGGCTGGAGGCCGGCTGTGGGGAGAGCTTGTTCCAGGAGGACTGGGGCCTGTTTTGGAGCGAAGTATGGTCCTTGTATGTGGCTCAGGTTCTTAGGCTGGGGCCGGCAGCGAAGCTGAGCCCCCCAGTGCCCTTTTCCCTGTTCGTGTCTCCTGCTGCAGGGGCTGGCACAAAGGGGCCACCCTGCCCCACTCTCTGGGCAGAGGGGTAGGAGGGGCTGGGGTCCTCAGCCTGCAGCCCCTCGGGGAGTGCACACAGGGCCTGGGGGAGAAGAGCCGAGGCCGGCACTGACCTGAGGAACGTCTGCTGCACCTCCCTCCCCTGGCCACCGCTGCTGATCTCAGGAGCAGGCCAGCTCCCATGAGTGTCAGAGGCCCTGAGCTGGGCCCAGGGTGGGGAAATGGGTCAGAGCAAACAGAGAACAGGGGAGACTGAACAGAGCGGCTCTGCCAGGGGAGTGGAGGTGGGAGGAGGTCAGGGGCCTGGCTGTCCTGGAAGCTTGTCTTGGAAGCACGTAGCTTTGGAGGGGAGAGGCCGAAAGTGACCCCTCCCAGCAGAGATTCCCCACACACGCCTGGGCCTCAGGGCACGAGCAGGCTCCTGTCACCTCAGCCTTTTCTGGCTGGCTGATGCATTCCCAAATCCAGCCCCACCACGGGCCACGGCAGGCCCAGCCTCCCACCTGGTGCCGGCCTCCTCCAGCCTTCACGCACCTCCTCTGAGCTTCCCAAGTGCCCCTGGGAGGTGGGCAGTCCGGGTCACTGCCCACCGTACAAGTGAAGAAAAGATGGGCTCCAAGAAGCCTGTGCCTGCCCAAAGTCACCAAGCTGGCGCCAGAGCCACAAGCCCGACCCCCTGAGTGCTCCTGGCCTGGCTCATAAGCTGCCAGCTGAGACTTGCCTGGCGAGCTAGGCTTTACCAGCACTTCTGCAAACATTTCCTTGCTTAATCCTCTTAATTTGTGAGGTTAGGGTGATTTTCTCTGTTATGGAGATGAGAGCGCTGACCAGGTCTGGCCAGGAAAGTGAGTGATGGTGAGGGATGAGGAGGAGGGCCCGGGGCATGGGGGAGAGTCTGTGCAGTCCTGCTGCTGTCAGCTGGGGCTTCACCTGCCTGCTCAGCGCTGGCCCCCTGCTCCGGAGACCCCTGGTTCTTGTGGCCTTGAGTGTGTGAGCCACCATCCTTTGTGGAAGAGTTGGGGCCAGGGCTGAGCAGCAGCCTCCTTCTGTTCCCTGGCTCCTCTTCTGGCAGACCACCCTGGGGCCTCAAGCCCAGGTCACAATGTGCCCCACCTCTCACCATCTCCCCTTCTGCTGCAGAAAGCCCACTGTCGTCCTCCCCACCCAGGCCTGCTGCAGCAGTGTCCCCCAGAGTTGTCATCGTCACGCCCTCCCTGGCCCAGTATCCTTCACGCTCCTCCTGGGGCTTTGGGTGGGGGGCACTGGGAGCCCAGCCTGTGCCTCTGTTCCCCCAGGTGATGGCACTCTGCACCTACCCAAACCTGCTGGATAGCCCCAGCTTTCCAGAAGATGCTAAGAAACGAGCCCGGCGGATCCTACAGGCTTGTGGCGGGAACAGCCTGGGTGAGGCCCCGACTTGCCAGATCCCAGAGGGCATGAAACGAACATGTGTTCTCGGTGTGGGCCTCGGCCCCAGCCCCGAGTGGAGGGTTATGCGTGTGAGTGAATGTGTGAATGTGTGTGGGGTGGCTGACATGCAGAGTAAATGAAAAATAGTGTTCCCCTTCTCATCCGAGCTCTGTTGGCCTCCTGTTTGCTGAGCTGACGAGGTCAATGCCATCTTTTGGTGAATTGGGGCACTTCAGCTGCAAGTGCCTGCATTTGGCTGGATTTTGGTTTTACACCTGAGGGCCGCCTTTGACAGCTGAGCCCTCTGTCAGAGCAGGTTTTAACCCGGTGACTGGCCATAGCGACGGGGGCCAAGTGGAAGCAGTGCCCAGCTTTGTCCAGCCTTCTCGCCTCTCTGCAGCCCGAAGCTCCGAACACACGTCCTGCGTGGCCTGGGAGGTGGCGGTCACCTGTGGGGAGGGGAGTGCTGGGAGATGCCTCTGGCCCCTTTGGTGGTTCCCTCTGTTCTGCCCGTGCCATCCCCCCTCCATCTCCTTGTGTTCCCATCACCCCGGCCTTTGCTCCTCTCTGCTGGGAGCCCACACCCCGACTCTGCCTCCTCACGGAGGGAGCACGCCCAGCCCCAGAGGGCTCGGAGGAGGGAGGCCCCAGAATGTGGCCCTGTGTGTGAAAATGATATTCTCTCTCCTGCCTGGGCCTTTTGCTCTTTGTTCTCATCTCATGTTCTTTTCTCTGTTTACTTTTGCCCCATTCCTTCACCCAGGGCCTGCAGAGGGGATCCGGCTTCCCTTGCCCTGAAGAAAACAGTTTTTCTTAAAGCTTTTCTAGGACACACACTTGAATGTTCTAGAAGGTGGGACAGGGATTCTTGTGGCTTGCTCAGCAGGGGATCAGCCACCTTTGGCCTCTCTGTCGTCTCCCTGCCTCTCCCCTCCCCTTTCTCTGCTCTGTCCCTTTATTGAGAGCCCTGTGCTTACCTTCCTGCTGTGGTCACCCCACAGCCCGCTGTCTGAGTCTGGGCACTGTCCTGTCTGCTGTCCCTCTCGGGAAGGGGCCAGCTGCCCCTTGCTTTCCTGCCTGCCAGCCTGGATGGGGTGTGGGCCAGCACCTTGTGTGGCGAGGCTTAACCACAAGCTGGCAGAGAGCACCCCAGCAGGCCAGAGGCCTCCAGGCTCCTTTCCTTCTGCACCCTCTGCCCAGCCCAGAGGACAAAGGTGCTTCTCAAAACCCCATGGCCACGGGCCTGAGGCTCCTGGAAGCCGCCACGGAGAGGCGGGGAAAGAGGGCGTTTGCCTTCTGCGTGTCTGCCGTGAATGTCTGGGGAAGGGGGAGGGGATCTTTGTTCCACCTACTAAGCCTCATCAACGAGTTTTTGAAACGCTATGTCAGCCAGGGCTGCAGGTGTCAGGGTGGGAGGCCATGTCCGTGTGAGTCCTCTCTTGGGTGTCGTAGCAAGAGGATGGTGGGGGGGTTTTGGGACCTGCGCTGAGTTCTGAGGAGCTCCTGAGGACAGGTGAGGTAGGTGTTCTCTGAGCCGCTCTCCTCCTTGAACCAGGAGTACTTGGTACTCACCTCCTGGGCTTGCGAGGAAGGTTGACGTGGGTGCTAAAGCCCCTTGTCAGGTATGGAGAAGCCTTGCCCCTGGGGGTCACCACCAGGCCCTGCCCATTGCAGGGACACGTGAGGCAGTGTTGTCCGTTGACTAAGCCTTGGGGACTAAGCTTTGGGCGGCCTGAACACCTACCCACAGAAGCAAAGGAAAAGGAAAATGTCATGATGCCTCAGGGCCACCCTGACCTGAGGGGGGATTGTTACATGCGTACACGAGGGCTTAGAGCTCACCCAGACGTGTTTTTATCATGCCGTTTAAAATTACTTCTTTCTGGGGCTTCGTTTATTTTCTGTTTGATGGGTAATTCAGTTCTCAGGTATTGAGGTGAAACCTAGACACACCTGGGGAGGTGGGAGCTATGTGCCCTTGTCCAGCCCCTCCCTGAGCACATGCCGTGTCCCAGGCACTGCGGGACGCTGGTGGACAAGGCGGATGGAGTTTCTGTGCTCACGAAGCTCACTGTCAGATTTGGGAGAAAGAAACATTAAAAAGAATTCACACAAAAACATAATCCCGAGTTTTCATGAGTTCTTGGAGAAAGAGCAGCGAGCTGTTAGGTTATTACAAAGGATTCTAATGTTGAGGGAGGGTTTAAGGAGAAAGTGGCATACAAATTCGTGTGGAGGATGAGTAAGAGAGAACCTGCGAATGGATACCAGGCAGAGGAAATAGTGTATGCAAAGGCCCTGAGGTTCAAGAACTGAGTGTGACAGAGTGAAGGGGTCTGGTGTGGTGGTGTGCGATGAGGCTAGGGAGTTGGACAGTGGTGATGGTGCCAGTTTGTAGGCTGTGGGGGACAGGTGGCCATCAGTCTCAGGGCAGTGGGTCCTGAGTGGGGTGGGGGTGGGGGATAGATGCTCTAGCAGAGATGCACAGAAGAAATAGATAATGGTCCCTGCCTTCAAGGAACTTACAGTCAACGTGAGGAGGCAGGGCTTCATCTGTATAAAATGAAATAACTGGAGGAATTACAGGCCGGGAGAGAGGCTGGCGGGGGCGGGGGCCAGTCTTTAGGACAAGCCCTCTTGAGAGACTGGATCTGAGCTCTGAAGGATCAGTGTGATTTGGAGCGTAACAGAAGATCTAAAGGAAAAGGCGCATCTGTGGCTTGCAGGAGCAGGGAGCTTGCCAGTGGGGGTAGACCTGGGAATTCAAGGAAGCGGGTGAGCTAGAGGCAGGAAGAAGAGGAGGGTTGGCTGGTGTGGGGTGGGCCCCGTGGAGGGGAGGGCCTTGAAAGAAGGCAGGGGAAATACGGAGCACTGGAGGGTCTCTGAGCGCGGGAGCTCAGAGACATCAAATCCGTCCCCCAGTGGAGGAAGGATTCTCTAACACCAGCATTTGCACCTCCCCACTTTGTCAATTTACATACTATTTCAAATGCATTAGAATACCCAAAATAATGTAACAGAAGACCCTGTGCCCACCACCCAGATTTGCTACACGTTAATGTTTGCTATTTGAACCTTAGAGAACTGGTCCAGCCCACCCATTTCACAGCTGTCAGAGGGGAAGGGTGAGCCCAATGCTGCACAGAGGCTGAGGCAGAGCCCGGCTGGTGCTTTTTCAGAGGAGCCTTAAACTTTGCACCTGCTGGGTGCGGGGCCAAGACTGTGATGTGCTGAGGCCCAGAGAATTGGCTACTTTCCAGAGCCCCAGGCTGCCTCCTGGTGGTGGTTTTGCAGTAGCCTGAGAAGGAATAGGCTGTTTTCTTTAAATGTGGTATAAAATTCAAACAATCTAAAAGAATATAGAGTAAAAAGTTGGCCCCCTCCTCTGATCCCCAGCCTCCTGGTTCCCTTCCCCAGAGAATTCGCCTCACCAGTTTGGGTCTCCTTCCAGAGAGATTTTGTGCATGTGCGAGTACCTATTTTCAATTTCTTTCTGAAAACATAGTGGCCTAACATTTTAAAAAACTTTTTATTGAAACAGACAGTAAAATGCACACATATTAATGTACAGCTTAAATAATTTTTGCACATGTAGAGGCCTGTCACCCCACCCAGATCACGATATTGAACATTTCCGGCACTGCAGAAGGCTCCTGTGTGTCCCTTACTGTCAGTGCCCCCACCCCTAAAATGGCGAGCACTGTTCTAACTTCCAGCCTTATAAATTAGCTTTGCCTGTTCTTGAACTTCATAAAAATGGTGTTCTGGATTTTAATCAAAAATGGCAGCCTGAGGATATTGTTGACATGGGGTGGGAGTAGGGCGGTCATGCCCAGTAGCCCCAGGGATATGTGGTTCCTGTTGGTCAGGGCTCCGGACTCCTGGGCTGGCAGTGGTGCCATTTTGGGTTGACCCATTCCCTCAAGTTCTGTGGACCCATGTGTAGGCGATGGTGATAAAAGCATAGCGATCCCAGCTGTAATGATCTCTACTGTCAAGACTGTGTATAAATCCCAAGAGGGTGAGCAAAATAGCTGTGGGCACCATTTAACTCATTAGAAGCCAGGACCTAGCATACTGCTTGACATACAGTAGGTTCCCAGTGAAGACCGGGTGGATGGATGGATGAGTGGATGGATGGGTGGGTGGATGAACAGATGGGCAGGTGGATGGGTGGGTGGGTAGATAAGTGAGTGGATGGATGGATGAGAGGATGGGCGGATGAAGCCCAGATGGGTGGTTAAGGAGCTTGCCACAATTCCAGAGCCTAGAGTAGTGGGAGTTGGACCCCACCAAGACCTCCCCAACCCCCCCCAGTTAATTACGTGGACATTACCGACTCCATGGAGCCGGGCATCCTGCCTCTAGTCACTGTCTTGCTTGCTGCCTTACAGGGTCTTACAGTGCTAGCCAGGGTGTCAACTGCATCCGTGAAGACGTGGCTGCCTACATCACCAGGAGAGATGGCGGTGTGCCTGCGGACCCAGACAACATTTACCTGACCACTGGAGCCAGTGACGGCATTTCTGTGCGTGTGAGGGTGGCTCGTTGTTATCCGGTGATCGCCCACACGGAGAACAGCCTTGCATGTTAGGGCCGAGCATGTGAGCCCGCTGGCAGGGAGAAGGCCTGGGAGGAGGGGTTGGCCACCCTCTGGTCCCTGCTGTCTGCCCCTCCCTGGTAGCCTGCTGCCCTTACCTCATTCAGTCTTCATGAACCTGGATACGACTGCAACCTAAGTTTCTCCCAGAGTGCACACCAACATGTCCAGCTGTAGGGGAGTCACGGGGCACTCAAGGGTGCCCGTCTTTCTGGCGTCATTGGTCTATCTCTCACTCAGCACGTACTGGTGTTCCTCCTCTGCCAGGCGCTGTGCCAGGTGCCGAGGAAACCAGGGGGACCAAACATGTTTGACCTCTGCTTACACACTAGTGCTGGAGCAGACTGACATTAATATCATATAAATAAGTGTCACTTCACAAGCTTTCAGTTTCTCTTCTGGGTGAAGAGGACAGAGTGCTACAGGACAGAGCAGCAGGGACTCTGCCCTGGGGGCAGGGGCAGGAAGGTTTCTTCAAGGAAGGCTGAGCAGATAGAGATCTGGAGGATACGTAGGCACGGATGGGGAGGCAAGGGATGGCGTGTTCTCAGCAGGAGGCGGACGTGCAGAGGCTTGGGGCTGGCAGGAGGCTGTGTGTTCGGAAATGGAGAGGCAGGGTGGACGAGCACATGGTGAGGGCCTTACCAGGAATGGGCTGGAGAGGCAGATGGGGCCTCAGAGGCCATGCTGAGGATTTGGGTCATTGTCTTAAGAGCAGTAGGGAGCCACTGAAGGATTTGAAGCAGGCGGGGACATAATTAGATTCATGTTCTTAAGTCATCACTTTGGCAGCGAGGGGGATGGCAGATGTGAGGGGGCGTCTAGGAGGCCAGAGAAGAGGGGGCTCAGGCGGTGTCAGCTATGGCCGGTGAAGAGCGGCTGGCAGCAGTGGCTGCATGGCAGGAGTCTGAAGTGCTGGGTCTGCGGGGCCTGCTGTCCATGCCCTGTCGGCAGGCTCCTCCCAGCGCCTGATCTGTGCTGGGTGCCCTCAGCTCACTTATTCTCCCTCTCAGGCGAGCGCTGTCTGACCCCTTCCTTTAATGGGGTTGTCCTCGTCTCGTCTCCTGACCCCCAGTGCCCTTATTCCTGACATTTGTTGAATGCCTTAACCCTTCCCCAAAGCCTTTCAAATGCATCCAACTCCTCCTGGAGCCTGTGAGGAAACTGAGGCCCATTAAGTAGTCTGCCTGCGTTAAGTGAGCCTCTTGTGGCATTTGGGATTCCAGTGTTGGGGCTCAGGCCCCCCAACCGTGGCATCTTCTGTTGTGTTCTGCTGTAGGGCCCCTCTCAATTCCCAGAGAAGCCGGGAACAGGCAGAGGTCCTGGAGGAGGGCAGGGAGGCGTCCTCAGGAGTTGATGACAAGAATCAAGTCGTTGTGCTTTTTAGTGCAGCAAGGCACTGAGCCTGAGAAACAACCTAAGCCCCTGTGTAAGGTGGGGACTCTCCCCGAAGAGGGTTTTGGCTTATTAAGTCAACAAATGTTTGCCATCTCTGCCCGGACCCCACAGCATTCCCTGGCCCGGGTTCTCAGGAATCCTGCAGGCGGGGGGCCCGGCTCTGGAAACAGCTAGGTTGAAGTGCCACCTGGTGGTAATAGATGGATGTTTCATGCATTTCAACAATCCCTTCCTTGTCGGCCCCGGGCAGGGATAATTACTGACAGGACAGATTCCTGGGCCCCACCCTAGACACACGGAATGCGTTTGAGGGGTGAGGTCAGAGTAATTCTGAGCCAGGGCCATTTGTGGACTACTGCTTTAAAAGACCTCTTTAGAAAATGCTAACAAGAGTTATGAGTCTTGAACTACTTGCTGTGCACTGTGCTAAGAACTTCGAAGCATTGTACTTGGCTTATTCCTCACAGCAGCCCTCGTTTTACAGATGAGGAAAGCGAGACTCAGGGAAGTTAAGCACCGCACATGGGGTTACACTCGAGGTGGGCGTTGGGGCCTTTGGGCTTGTCTGCCCCTGCTCCCCGAGCGTGCGGTGGCGGTGGCCTGTGAGGTGTGACTTCTCGGTTGCAGACGATCCTGAAGATCCTGGTCTCCGGGGGCGGCAAGTCACGGACGGGGGTGCTGATCCCCATCCCGCAGTACCCCCTCTACTCAGCAGTCATCTCGGAGCTCGGCGCCGTCCAGGTGAACTACTACCTGGATGAGGAGAACTGCTGGGCCCTGGACGTGAATGAGCTCCGGCGGGCTGTGCGGGAGGCCAAAGGCCACTGTGACCCCAAGGTGCTGTGCATCATCAACCCCGGGAACCCCACAGGTCTGCGCTTCCCTTCCTCGCCAGGGTCTTGGGGCGGGGCAGAGCGGCCGGTACGCTGGGTGTCTGGACACTACAGAGTTGAGAAATAGCCAGGAGTCCTCTTTGCTCCCAGTTTCCCAGCCCAATTCCAGATTTGCTAACAGAAAGCCATGTCCCTTGCCGCAGGCCACCTAGGAGGTGAGCAGATGCTGGCAGTTTCCTGGGCAGGGTTGTATTGTTATTAGAACCAGTTTTTTCCTGTTCTTGCGTTTTGCAAAGAATCTCTCCCTTGAGGTTACTCACACACAAGCCGTCTCCATGAATCAGAGGCCTCATTCTACCTTTCCTCCTGCTTGTTTTTCTGAACCAGTTTTCAGAATGCTGGTGTGTGCTTTCTGTTTTTCTCTGACACAGCATTGCATGTACTTTGAGGCCTGGAAAGGAAATGCCATATTAAAAACAAAAGCGAAGCAAAAAAACCTATTTCCAGAAGTTGAAAAGCCCTCCTAATTTTGCGTATTTTTCTTTAAAAAAAAAAAAAAAGGTACAGTCCTGCCTGCTTTGGTCTTTCTGGGCTGCTGGCTTCGTGTGCTCCGGATGTGTTTGGATGCCGAGAACAAGAGCTCCTCTCTCCTTTGTTAGGACAAATTGGGTCAGGGCCAGAACGCCTGGGAGCTGGTGGTGGAATCTGCTTCTTGGGAGCATCAAGTGATGCTTTGGTCAGCTGAGAGCACCACTTGAGTTCCCGAGTGCAGGGAGCGGGTGCCGCTGGCGCTGAGTCTGCTTTATTGACAACTGCTTGGGGGAAGGGGGGAAGGTTCTAACCCTGATGCAGGAGGAAAATGGCAGAGCTGCCTTCTCAATCCTGCTTGCACGTCAGAATCTCACAGGGAGCTTTAAAAACGCCAAAGGCCAGGCCACATCCCGGAATCTGTGGGGATGGGCCCAGGCATCAATATTTTGTGCAGCTGAAGATGAGAAGCACTGCCGAGGACAGTGGCTCTCAAACTAGAGCTTGTTAAGATGCGGACCTCTGGGCCACACTCCCTGATATTCAGATGTAATTGGGCTGGGGTAGGGCTGGAGAATTTCCATTTCTAGCAAGTTCCTAGGTGATGCTGATGCTGCTGGCCCCACTCTTGGAGTAGCAAGTCCTACATCGTAGGAAATACTCTGTATACCTAGTTTATATTAGACGGTCAGTAACTTCTTGGCCAAGTGTTCACATACGTCTTTTCACTCGGCTGTCTGGGAAGAAATAACTGCACCGGAGACTTTCCTGTTTTAGGCAAAGGATTCGTGTGAGTGTATATTAATATAAGTAATTTTTAAAGAGTAACTATGAGGGGGCAGCTGGTTTTGCTCTATCTTAATGTGTAAAAATCAGTCAGCTACTGGAAGATGGGGCATGGAAAATAGAAACCTACCTGTGATGACCATGTGTCTTGTCTAGACCACACGCTGTGACCACTTTGGCTAAAAGGTGCCAATATGGACTGGCATACTAAGCCAGGGCTCTTTGGGTTTTAAGACAGAAACCTAGCTCAAGACTGAAGGGAGTGGCTCTTGGAACTGTAAAGTCCCAGGGTAAAGCAGCACACTTGAATCAGTGTCACTGTGAGTAGAAACCTCAGTCCATTTCCCAGCTCTGCTCTTCTCTGCGTCAGAGTCCTCAGGAAGGATCCGTCCTTGGAGTGGCCTTCAGCAGCTCCGGCCATAGCCCACCAGCAGAGAGCATCTCCCATAGTTTCAACAGAAGTCCCAGGCCAGACTCTTGTTGGCTCAACTCGTGTCACCTGCCCATCCCTGAACCAGTCAAATCACTCAGACTGTGATTGGCAGGTCTGTGTCCCAGGCCGCTCGCTGGAGTGCAGAGAGAGGAGTTCCCATGGGACAGCTGAGCTCTGTTACTCAAGGGAAGGGTGCTGGGCAGGCACAAGCAACAGATATTCCGGTTAGTTTGTGGGAAATTCCTTCGGCCCAGCCTCTGGGGAGAGGCACTTGGGAGACCCCTCTCCAGTCTTCAGGGCCTAGAGCAAAGCCACCTCTCCGTGAGGTGGTCCCATGTCTCCCCATGCTGGGCACAGCCTTGCCCTGGCCCCTCTAAAGCCGTGTATGACTCCCGTCTCCTCCACCGCTGCGTGTCTTGTCCGTCATTGGCTCAGCAGGCGTGTTCTGAGAGCTGCGACCTCCCAGGCACTGGAGGGAAGTAAGCCCTGTCCTCGTCCTCAAGCTTGCCTCGCACACGTCAGGGACATTGTGTGGGGGTCTCATTTCCCCTTTGCACTCCCCATGGCATTATGTGCACATGGTTTTGATATTCTTGGTGCTCAAATTTCTCTTTCATTCTAACAGAATATAGTTTGTGGGATCGCAGGCATGGGAGGGCAAGGCCAGGAGTGTTTGCAGGCAGGCTCTGCCCCCGGGTAGCCAGCCCGGGTCTGCCTCTGGGCACAGTGGCGGGTTCCTTGTAGAATCCAGGGCAGCCGCCCTTCCGGAACCCCAGAACCTGAGCTTCTTCATAGGAAGCCTGGGTGGTGCCTGCTTGGCAGGAGAAAAGTTGGTCCCTTAGTAAAGGAATTGGTTCATTGCTTAGACAGTTCAAGTCTGAAATCCTGGCTGCATCATACCATGTTCTTATAAGACAGGTCTGTATATTTTTTTCAGACATATTCTTGCCTAGACAGGAATATAGGTATTTTTATTTTTAACAAAAAGGTAGCATACTTTACATACTGCTCTGCATCAAAATGTATATACTTATATATAAATAACGTGCACATATATACATACGTATGCACGTAGATATATGTAATATCCATAGATACACATATAGGTATAGTAAAGAAACAGCCTTTTGAAGAAGTCAGCCGGGCTGACCGTAGAGGTGCCTTTCCAGAGAACACGTGATCCTTGGGCATTCCCAGTGCCACGCTAACGTCGGTCTCGGGTGATGCTGGGAAAACGTTCCGTTTCCACCTGGTTGCTTTGGTTCCTCTCCCCACCTAAACCCATGGCCTTTGCTGTGAACTGACGGGTTGTATTTTGCTGCTTGCACTCATTTTTCTAAAATGGGTGGTGAGTGTTTCCATGGTTTGTGTTGAGTGGCCCTCACGGGGGAGCCCCTGAAAGGGAAACTGCGGATGCTTCCCCTCCTCGTCAGCGATGCATAGCTCCATGTAGCCGCTGGCGGACGCCAGGCTGGTGTGCAGGCTCGTTCATGGAGCGCTGATTCCGCAAATGTTTATTGAGCGCCTGCTGAGCACCGGCTCTGAGGATGGACGATGGGCCTTGCAGACCTTGTCCCTGCCTCGAGGAGCTCTGGTGCCTCTCTGGGGAGGAGATGAGCCCGTGCCGGCTCCCCACCGGCCGCTGCTGGTGCGTGGGATGGAGGGGAGCTGAGCTCATTGATTGAACGCCTCCAGTTTTATTTGCCTGCTCTTTAGGACGCTTCCCTGCCTTCCTGTCTTCCAGCACAGACAGACAGACAGACAGACAAACACACCCTCCCCCAACACACCTCTCATGAGAATAACAAGAAAGTTGGGTGTGAAACACTACTCTCTCTGCATACCTGGCTTAAGCAAGTCAGAAGGCGGGACCGACCCTGGAGGTTGCCTACACCCCCACAGACACAGCAGCGAGGGAGGGTGGTCCCTTAGGGTCATGAGGGAACACAGGACACCTGAGTCATTCTGGGTGGGATTCTTACCTAGGGACGATTTAAACAGCATTACAACCTACATTCTGATTCTGTTTGGGGATTTTTTAGGTCAGGTGCAAAGCAGAAAGTGCATAGAAGATGTGATTCACTTCGCCTGGGAAGAGAAGCTCTTTCTCCTGGCTGATGAGGTAAGACCAACACCAGCTCAGGGAGGGTGAGGGTGAGCTTTCTGTTCCGGGGAGAGACCCAGGCCTGACTGTCCTGTAGCCAGAGAGAACTTTCTAGGTGTTGGAGGAAAGATTCTAACCGAGGATGAGCATGGTCAGTGTTACAATCTATAAGACTGTAACCTAAATCATCCCTAGATTGGTTTGGACTCTTGGTTATAAGTTTCAGGAGTCTAACCCAAACCACTTGAAACTTAAGAAATAAAAAAATGATGGCTCACAGGTGTGGGTCTAGACCCAGGGCCTTAATGTCTCTCGTTCTGTCCTGCTACACTGGCCTCACACACAGGCCTGCTATCTTCCCAGCCTAGAAAGAGAACATTTCTTCCTGGTGGTTCCAGTCCCGGTCTCAGAATTGAGCCTCATTGGTGCAGCTTGGGTCAAACCCCCATTGCTGAACCCGTCACTGAGGCCTGGTGGTTGCAGTATGCAACTTGGCCCTGAGTGAGGGGTGGGGTCTTGGCCCTGTCCTCCCAAACCTCCAGACAGAGACAGGGGAGGGGTGTTTCCTCAGGGCAAATCGAGGGCCTCTTAAGAAGGGAGAGTGGGTGCTGGGTGGGCACAATGCTGTGATCCTGTGCCTCCTGGTGCTTCCCTATCCACCATCTCGTTAGTTCCCACAGCAGCCTGTGAGGAGGGGAATCTCAACCCCATAGCTGCTGCTCCTGGAACCCCAGTTCTGGAGCCGAGGCCTGCCCATTCTTTTCCTGCTTTGCAGGGAAGAAATTGAAGACCTGTCCAATCTTGTTTTCATTTCATCTTCATTTCTGCATGATTTCTGGTTAGTCGTAGCTTCTGGTACACTAACTGGATTTCTTTGCTCCTTAGCAACTGCCACTCCTCACACACACACACCTTACCCACCAAATTGTTGCCATAATTAATAGCAGATGGGTCTAAAATCTTCATTTCTAAAGGAGAGAAGGGGCAGCAGAGTGACCCATGGTTTTCCTCATGACGTGGTGCACAAACCTCCTCCCTTTGGGTCTGGGAGGAGGAGGAGGAGGACTCTGCCTGGCTTGTTGAAGGTGGAGCTGGGCTGACCCTCCCAAGACCCACGTGCCCCAGAGAGCCTGGTCCCCTGATTGCCATGGGTGTGGGGCGTTCATCTCCACGGGCCAAGCAGGGTGCTGGCCGCTGAGTGTAGACTGAATACAGCGAGTGGGGGTGCTGCGCATGTCTGCAGTCTAGTGGGAGAGACGGACAGCGAGGGTGGACAGAAAAACAAACAGTTCCAAACCAGGCAAGTGTTCCAGAGGATTGAGAGAGCCACACGGTTGGCTCCTCGAGGGCAGCCGGAGCACAGGTGCAGGAACTGCTTCCCTCACCGTCTTATTGGGGAAGAACATCGCCCTTCAGGAAGAAAGCTCACTCGGGCAGGTGGGAGGCCTGGGTATCGTCACTGTCAGATGAGGTAGAAAGGGGTCTGGAGACTGGTTGGGGAGAATGTGGGAGAAATCAAGTGGGTGTCCAGCCTGAGTCCTCTCCTCCTTGCTTGTTCTGGAAAGTTCCTTTGGGCCCGTCCTGGCTTGTCCCTGGAAGCGGCATCAGCAGCTGGGCTTCACGGCACGCAGCCTGGCTGCGGGTTGACCCTGAGCCCCTGAGCCCTCCCTCGGCACAGCCTGCGGGCTCAGCCCTCCGGGACTTCTGGTGACTGTCCCTGCCTGTCCTCTCCCGCAGGTGTACCAGGACAACGTGTACTCTCCGGACTGCAGCTTCCACTCCTTTAAGAAGGTGCTTTACGAGATGGGGCCCGAGTACTCCAGCAACGTGGAGCTCGCCTCCTTCCACTCCACCTCCAAGGGCTACATGGGCGAGTATGTTGCCCTCCACTTCTTCCCGCTGCGCCTGGGCCTGCGGTCCCAGCGCTCCTCTGCCCCGCCCCGCGGTCGACCCACTGGGCAGAGCAGGCCACCCTTATCCACAGCCTCTGCTGCCCTGAGAAGCAGGAGGAGAGATGCCGCACCTCCCCGGGGGGAGCCCAGTGGTGTGAGGACAGCCCTGTGCGAGGGCTTGTCTAAAATAAGGCGATGCTTGAAAGAAACCAGACTGGAGAAATGAAATGCCAACAGGGCCTCACGGCAGCCCTGACACTGGTGTTTTCTGCCAGCCCTGTCACTGTTGCTCCGACATTGACCAAAGCCTGAGTGGCCAGAGAAGGCAGGTTGAGTGGACAAGTGCTGACAGGCCAGCGGGCCGGCTCTGTGTGCAAAAGCCCTGTACACATCCCGCCTTAGCACTCGTGACCTCAAGGGCCAAAGAGTCGGCTTCCCTTCCGAATTCATTCATTCGGCTAATATTGATTGAGCTTCCGCGGCAAGTCCAGGACTCCTCTGAGCACTGAGGTTACAGCAGTGAGCAAACCACAGCAGAGCCTGCCCGCCCAGGGCTTGTGTTCTAGTGACGAGAGAGAGGCAGTAGACAAATGAGGAAAATCATGTGTCAGGTGGGCAGAAATAATTAGAGAAGAGATGGCAATGCCAGGAGGTGGGGATGGGCTCACTGAGGAGTTGGCTTTTGAGTTGAGACATGAAGGAGGGGAGGGAGGGAGCTATGCAGATATCTGAGGGAAGAGCATTCTGATGGAGGGAACAGCATGTGCAAAGGCCCTGAGGTAGAAGCATGCAAGGCCTGTTCAAGGAGCAACCAGGGGACTGGAAAGGAATGAGTGAGGGGGAAAGTGGCAGAAGTTGAGACCAAAGAAGTTAGGAGGCCGGATCATCTGGGCTACTTAGGTTACTTTTTGCTTTTACTCAGAGTGAGATGGGAGCCATTGGAGGGTTTTAATGGAGGCGTGACCTCACATGACTTATGTTTTACTAGACTCTCTCTGATTGCTGTGTAATGTGGACAGGGACAGAAGTGGGGACTCAAGTCACGCGGCTATTACAGTCCAGGCAAGAGGTCCCAGTCAGGGCGGGGATAGGGAGAAGACATTGGATCCTGGATGTATTTGAAGGTAGAGTTGACAGGAGTTGCTTGATGGAAAAGATGGGCGTGAGAGAGAGGAGTCAAGGATGATTCTCAAGTGTTTTGTTCAGACAACAGGAAGGATGGAGTTGCCATCGATAGATGAGGAAGGCAGTGAGGGAAGCCGCTTTGAGGAAAAGATCAGGAGCTGGTTTTGGGCATGTGAAATTTGTAAATGCCCATTTGACATCCAGACAGAGATGGATGTGTGAGTCTGTGGCTCAGAGCTGAGATCCAGCTGGAGATTTAAGATTGGGAGAGGTCAGTGTCTGAGTGGTTAGATAGAACTCTGAGCCTGATGTCCCAGGGGGAGTGAGGGTAGATGAGAGAAGGTCCAAGGACTGGGCGTGGCCCTCACTGCTCAGAAACTGGGGGAGGAGAGGAGGAACCTGCAAAGGAGCCGAGAAGGAAACACCAGTGTGTTTACAGCTGAGAGCATCCATCCCCAACATTGTGGGGGTTCTGCTCTGTGCCGGGCATGGGGGGGAGGGCTCTGGTTTTTTAAGCTGAGGCCAGTGTAACCATGAAGCTTGGAGAGGAGCTGTCCTCTTGGGGGATTGCCCAGCTGATCTTGGCTTTGTTTGGTGTGGGCAGGGTCAATTTACACCGGTCTTTCTGTCTACCCGGTAGCAGTGCTGGGCTCTTGCTAGATTTTCACGTGCTGTGTAGCTCTTTTCCTAAACAAATCTGTTCTCTCTTAACTCGTTTTTCAAACTCAAGCGTGTTTCTCACATGCCTGTCCACCCCTCCATCTGGGTTACTGATGACTGTTTTCACAGTCAGTCTCCTGGGTGTTGGTGTCCTGAGTTCTGACCTGTTGCCCTCAGATCCTGACTACCTAGGATCAGGCTGTTTTGCTCAATTGGATTTTCTGCACATCAGCAAAGGATTAAGCAGAAAGTTCTTTCTTTCCTCCTTCGTACTGGAAAGCTTCGGAGATGCCGGAATTTCTCTTTCTGCCTTGGAAAGTCCAGTCGTGGGCTCAGATGGGGATCTGCTCTGCCAGTCGAGTTCGGCAGCCTGACCCCAGAAGCGCTGTAGTGAGAGTCTCTCCATGTCAGGTGCTCTGCGGTTGAGGGGTACAGTAGGCAGAGGGAGGTTGGATCAGGTTCCTGCCTCAGGGTGCCCGCGTTCCTGAGGCCGTTGGTCTGCACATTGTCAGTCACCATCCAGAGAAGCAGCCACAGCTCCAGAAAGTGTGGCCGATTTGTTTTTTTTTTTAACTCATTGCATGATCTCAGCTTATTTTCATGTAATTTGACTCTTTATCAGTCAGGAGCCTTTTGGCAATAAGTAACAGAAACAGCTTGCACTGGCCTACATTGAAGAGGCGTTTTTTTTTAATCCATGTTGGTAAAAGGTCCAGGAGTAAAGTCAAATCAGGGACTTAAAGATGTCAGCAGGACTCTGTCTCTGCTTTCTTGCTTTTTCTCATTTTCTTGCTCAGCTCTCCTCTCCTTTGGGTTGGCTTTGTTTTCAGGCAGCAAAGAGTTCCGGCGAAAGTCCTCAGGCTGACACTCGTTAACACCAGTGCATCGTGTGCCCCCTGGGGCCTGTGCAGGAGAGGGCTGGGGAGTCGTGTGCCCCTCTGGAGCAGGGGCTAGGGCGTCAGGTGGGGCTCAGGCTAAGCTGCTGTGACGAAGATGCCCAAAAGTACAGTGGCTCAGACAGGGTGCGAGTGTGTCTCTCTTTGACACAACGGTGCAAAGGCGGGGGAGGGCCAGGGCGGGCTCTGCTCTACAAGGTCGTTCAAGGACTGGGGCTGGTGGGGCGGCTCTGTCTTCTCAACACATGGCGTCCATCTCTAGCACTGAGGCTGCTGCTCCAGTGTCTCCAGTTCCCGGGAAGTGGGAAAAAGGAAAGAGGTGGGAGAGAGCATGCTGTTTCCTTGTAAGGAAGTGATGTGGGATTTGCACATATCACTTCCACTTGCCTTCCATTGGCAAGAACTCAGCCACACCTGGCCACTCAGTGTTGGGCATGGGGATGGTTACAGGAGGTTCTGGCCAGCCGGATTGCACTTAGTTGAGGTTTCTCTGTAACTGGTGGGTCCTGCCCCCTCTTCAACCCTCCAGGTGTGGCTACAGAGGGGGCTACATGGAGGTGATCAACCTGCACCCTGAGATCAAGGGCCAGCTGGTAAAGCTGCTCTCAGTACGTCTGTGCCCACCAGTGTCCGGGCAGGCTGCCATGGACATTGTCGTGAACCCCCCGGTGCCGGGAGAGGAGTCCTTCGAGCAGTTCAGCAGGGTGAGTCGGCTGTGTCTGTGGCTTGTCTGTATTGCTGCTGCGGCCAGGGTCACCCCAGCTAGTCTCTCTGGATGGCCTCCAGGAGGTGCGCCGAGTTCCTCTTGCTGCCTGACCCACCCCCGTGAGCTTGAGTCTGAGGATGCAGCTGGGCTGTGTTCTGAAGCAGAGGGACCGTGCACCCTTCCCCTCCTCGCCTGTGAGCACTGTGCGTGAGCAGGCACCCAGAGGGAAGGGCCTTGGGTCCCGAGAACACCCTGCGGGGATTCTGTTACTAAACCGAGGGAGGAAATGGACGTGACATCGATTCCAGGCCAGGGGCGTGCCTCTGGCCCACCGGGACGTCCTCGCAGCACAAAGTGATGCAGTCAGACCCTTCCGATTGCAAGAGACAAAAACCGGACTTGAACTAGTTTAAACGAAAAAGGAATTTATGGGTCTCATGACCAAGAGGTCAGTTCCTACCTGTTCCAGGCTCACAGGTTCACCTCTTTTTTTATTGTGGTAAAATACAGAACATAAAATTTACCATTTTAACCATTTTTAACTGTACAGTTTAGTGCATAAAGTACACTCACGTTGTTGTGCAACCATCACTACCATCCATCTCCGGAACTTTTTCATCATCCCAAACTGCAACTGTGTACCCGTTAAACACTAACTCCGCATTCCCCCCAGCCCCTGGTGACCTCTGTTTTACTCTCTGTCTCTGTGAGTTTGACTACTCCAGGGACCTCATATGAGTGGGATCAGACAGTGTGTGTCTTTCTGTGACTGGTTTATTTCGCTCAGCATGACGTCCTCAAGGTAGTCCGTGTTGTAGCAGGTGTCAGTACTCCATTCCTTTTTAGGCTGAGTGATATTCCATTGTGTGCGTATGGTATGTTTTCTTTATCTCTTCGTCCGCAGGCCACACCTTTGTGCCCCTTTCCCGGCAGTCCTTGCAGAAGTCCTGGACCGACTCTGCTCCAGCTTTCGACACATGTCCAGCTCTGAGCCAGTCACTCATTTGTCACGTGCCCCGTGTACACCACAGAGATTGAGAGGGGGGGAGGGCTGTCTCCTGGAAGCATGTTCTAGGGTGTTCTGTGCAGGGCCAAGTCCATTCAGACTGATGGGCGGGGACTGGTTTGGTTTGGTTTGTTTTGTTTTTGTGAGGAAGATCAGCCCTGAGCTAACATCCATGCCAATCCCCCTCTTTTTTTTTTTTGCTGAGGAAGACTGGTCCTGGGCTAATATCTGTGCCTATCTTCCTCCACTTTATATGGGACGCCGCCACAGCATGGCTTGACAAGTGGTGTGTCGGTGCGCGCCCGGGATCCGAACCCGGGCTGCCAGCAGCAGAGCGCACGCACTTAACTACTACGCCACGGGGCCGGCCCCAGGGACTGGTTTTTCTCGCTCTCAGGAATGACATCCTGGGACAAGAATGGAACCCGTGACACAGGCTCCCCAGGACCTACCTGTGGCCTGCCCCCCCCCCCACCGTGTACTTGTGTGCCCCACACCCCAGGGCACACAGTAGCCTCTTGGGCTGAGCGTCTGTGGAAGAAGTTCCTGTGGGGGATGTGCATTGCACCCAGCTCCCTGGGTTGTGGTGCTCGTGTGCATGCAAATGCGCCTTTCGCCAGTCTGCCCTGTTACCCCGGTGCTGAAGGGACAAGTTCCAGTGGCTGGGGCCATTCTGTGAAGTCCAGAGATGCTGACTCCTGTGCTCTCTCTGTCTCATCAGGAGAAGGAGTTCGTCCTGGGTAATCTGGCCAAGAAAGCTAAGCTGACAGAAGACTTGTTTAACCAAGTCCCAGGAATTCACTGCAACCCCTTGCAGGGTGCCATGTACGCCTTTCCTCGGATCTTCATCCCCACCAAAGCCGTGGAGGCAGCTCAGGTCTGGGGCGCCGGCCGGCCAGCTCTCTCACCAGTTCACTGGGGACTGCGGGGTTGGGGCTGCTTCAGGCCTTGGGGAGCAAAAGTGCTGGCCCTAGAGGCTCTGGACTTTGCGGCCCGCTCTGTCAGATGGTGCTTACTGCATCAAAGTGACGGGCTCCGGAGGCCCAGCCCCGACGGTGTGCTCAGGGACGGGGCAGGGGGGTGGCCCCGGGTGAGCCCCGCCGCTCCAGGCTCTGTTAATGTGGGTGCGCTGAAGGCAGGTGCGCAGGTGTGATGTGATGCATTTAAAACTGAAGAGACGTGAGGGAGCACTGAGAGCGTCCCTCCGCCCCTGCCACTGTGCCTGAGAACACTGCTTCTCAAGCTCGAGTGTGGTCACGGACCACCCAGGGTCTTGTCCAGACCCCGCTTCTGGCTCAGGAAGCCTGCGGAGGGGCCCAGGCTTCACAACTCCAGCAAGTTCTCCGATGGTCCCGCAGAGTCTACCTTGAGGATCAGGGGCCAGAGCAGTGTTTCTGAAAGTGTCCTGACACCCCCACACCTCCTCAATCTGGCCCCCCCAGACCTGTTGAATCCGAATCCCTGGTGTGGGAGCCCGAGAATCTGTTTGACAGGCTCCCCAGGTTGTGCAGAGCCAGCTGTGAGCAGCACTGTCAACAGTGCCCGAGAAGCTGGTCCCTGCAAGTGCCACCGGGCGCAGAGCCTAGGGCCCCACTGTCGGAGGGCCGTGTGCCTTGGCAGGTAGGAGGCCACCGTCAGCGCTCACGGAGCAGCTGCCGAGGGCAGGGTGCACGGGAAGTAGCCTTGCTCTCCCGGGTGGGGATCAGAAACGCCACAGCCCACAGCAGCCTGAAGTAGCCTTCGCTTCCTTGTTCCCACACCAGCTCCCAGCGGCGTCCGGCTCCTGCCTTGGTCCTCGCAGGAAGGGGAGGGGAGGCCGGGGGAGGGCCCTGCCATGGGAAGGAACCTGCTGTTTTGATTGTATTTGGCTTTGAGTTTTTAATGTGTTTGTGCAGCACGGAATGAATCCTAAGTTCTGCCCTGCTCCCACAGGCCCATAAGATGGCCCCTGACATGTTCTACTGCATGAAGCTCCTGGAGGAGACTGGCATCTGCGTCGTGCCCGGCAGCGGCTTCGGGCAGAGGGAAGGCACCTACCACTTCAGGTACCACTTCCTCCCTGCACCCGGGCTGCTCCCAGACGTGTGTTGGGAAACTTGGCTTCTTAACCTAGAGCACAGGCTGCTTCAGGGACTGAGGTGTGTGCAGCCCTGCCGCTCCCCCGAGATACACCCCCACCCATCCCACCCCCGTCTGTCCTGCTGCAGGGCGAAGCTGAGACCCAGTGCCCGGGGGTTCAGGAAAACTGGGTGGCCTCCAAGGTCATCTCCTTGACCACCCTGTCCCCCAGCACCGCCTCCATCTGTCACATACCGTCTGAACTGTTCCCGCGGTGTGTTTTCTTCTTGTTTCCCTGTCCCTTTTCAACTCCATGACAGCAGCGTCCAGCGGCCAGGTGCTCAGTAGCTGCACCAAGAGCCTGCCAATTTGCCGCATCCCAAACCCAGGGGAATTAGCTCCACTCACCGTGACGTGCTTCCCGGGGCGCAACTCCACCCCTGCCCAGACGGGGCCTCCCAGAGCTGAGCGAGCTGGAGGCCAGTTCTGTTGAGAACAGCACCTTCTCCGTGCACCGTGCTCTCAGATGTCTCCTGCAGCAGATGCTAAAAAAAGAAATGTCATGAGCTTAGTTAGCACCTGGAGCCAAGTCTTGACTCGGTCAAGGTCGTGGGCGGTGTGCCCTGGACGGACATACGTGTGCGGTTGGCCTTGCCATCCTAGCTGGGTTCACCTCAGTGATTCCTGGCTCGTTCAGAAAGCGGTTAAATCTCACGGGCAGCCCCTAGGGTTGGAAAGCATATTGACAGTATTGGAGGGGGAATTGGTTACCATGGCAACTTGGGAATTCCTTTGGAGGGAGAGTTATCTCTCGAGGTTCCCACTGTAAGAGACCGACTGCTGGAGATGAAAAAGGCCAGCTAGGAGGAGTGAAGTCTCACTGAGTGTCTGTAGGAAATACCAAGTCATGCTCTAGAGAAGTTCTCTTCACTGGTCAGAATGTTGTGCAGCCTTTTGCGATGATGGGGGATGTGTCTTAGTGAGCTGGAATGCTGCCACCAGCTTATTCTTTGTTCACGTGAATTACTTGGGTGAAAAATACATGTATGAATGCGGGGGAAAGTGGTTCAGCACATGCCGGATGCCTTCCTGGGGCTGGAGCTATCACCGCGGACAACACGGGCCCGTCCCCGCGCGGCTCGCCCACACCTCTGGGCACCTGCAGGTGAAGGAGTGAGTTGCTGGGTGCATTCCTGTCCCCTCTTCTGGAGCAGCTTGTGTCCAGGCTGATGCTGTGCTCTTTCCTGACAGGATGACCATTCTCCCTCCAGTGGATAAGCTGAAGACAGTTCTACAGAAGGTGAAAGACTTTCACATGAAGTTCCTGGAGAAGCACGCGTGAGGGCTCCTCAGGCCCCAGAGCGAGACCGGTCCTCGGGCCTTCCTCCTGATGCTCACCCAGACCAGACTGAACTCGCCTCCCCAGCAACTCTGCCTCAGGCCTCACAAAGGTCACTGGTTGCTTTCGTTGTCATTTTGCCCCAGGAGACTTCTTTCTTTTGTGCCTTGATGTGGGAGCACTTCTCTTCTGAGCAAATGTGAATTGGGGATATCTCAGAAGACCGGTTTTTTTGATGCAACCAAAGTAGAGGGGACTTGCTCAACGTATGTGGCCGGCATTCTCTGAATCTGTTGTTACTTCTGGAAGTTCATTTGGGGTTTAAACCAACCAGGGTGTATTGGGTGAGATGTTTCAGATCTGGAGAAACAAGAAGGTGTTGGGAAATATGACTTAACCGTGGTGAGGACTGGAAATAGCAACCTCACCACGTGATCTGTGAAATAAAACCCTTAGCGGTGTGAAAATCTAGTCCTTCCAACAGGAGACCCTGGAAGTCCACTGGAGGCTCCCAGGGGCCCACCCTCTGGCCTGGAGGCAGACAGCCTATCTCTCAGATGAGACTGGTGAGGCTGCAGTGCATGAGCTGGACTGGATACCAGGCTAGGTTGTGGCGGGCTCTGCGGGCTGTGGCAAGGTCAGGGGCCCCTGCAGCAGAGGAGTGGTGCAAGCCAGGCTCTGAGTTGAACCGGGTCTCCACTTGGGAGCACGCAGCAGGGAGTAGGGACTCCGCACACGTGAGGGCTCTGGGGTGAAGGGTCCTCTTGAGCATATTTAGGCTGGGACCCCCATCTGAGAGGCCCCCTGGACTCCAGGGACACAAGGTACAGACAAGGAATATCCCAGTCCTGTGGAGGGATCCTGCCTGGTGGCGTGTGGCTCCATCCCACTGTAACCCAGCTACCAGTCTCTCCCACGAGCTTGACTGAACACACGTCGCCCCCAGCTGGCGACAGCAGGGACAAGGAAACACTGAAAATATGCTAATGAGGGAGGGGCATCCTCAAGGACTTGATAGTCAAAATGCCCCCCACCGTTCTCCCCCTCCCATAGTGTCTGTGGAGTTTTTTCAAACTGTATTTGGTCTGTTCCCTAGCTCTTACTTGGTCCAAGTGCCTGGTAGCTCGGCTGCTATGGAAGAATACATGTGATCTGATTCGAAGTTGATAAAAGTGTTTTAACTTAATGCAAAGTGTTTTGCCTCCACATCTGCTGCTAGCTTCCCTCCCAGGGTCTGCAGACTCTCCTGTAGCATCAGTCAGCTCTCCAGGCTGGAGCGATGTAGTCCGCCAAGGCTGTAGCTTCCCTGGCGTTAGCAAACTTGGGTAGGGGGCCCCACACACAGTCCCAGAAAGTGGGTGCTACGGGCAGCAGCAGGCTGAGTGCCCTCTTCTCCTTCACCAAGAGCCTCCCTCCTACCATTGGCCTTCCCGAGTGGTCAGTTAGGGAAGCCAAGGCCAGCTCAGGAGTCTGGGGACCCAGCAAGTCTCAAGTAGGATTGAAGGAGCTGGAGCGAGACAGCTGAAGGCATGAGCTCTGAAAGCAGCCTCCTGTGCTGTAATTTCCACACTGGGCTCATGCGGGGGACACAGTAGGGAACTTCACACTGGCCTCACTCACTAGCGTTGCAGTTCCCATGAAGGAAGTAACCACAGTCTCCAATAACAAAGGGAATGTTCTGGGACTTTTCCATCCTTAAAAAATTGAGAAAATTGCGTGTGTGCTTGTTGACAGTATATAAACCAGGATGTGTCCCAGAGTAGTGAGATTTCGGTGGAAAGGTTAAATAGTAGAAGCTAGTATATTTTTTATATTTTTGTAACAATTGCTTTTTTCATGGGGGAGATGGGTTTAGTATTTGTAGTCTTAACAAGTCCAGTAGTTTTTTATAAATCTCTTTAGATTATAAATAACCCCTAAAAACTTTGCAAACATTTACATGATTTTTTAAAAGATGCCGTATACACTTGGTTTGCTTTTAAAATAAATGAATAAAAACATCATAAGGTCAGCTGGTTTAGGAGGTTAACTTCATTCAGGTAGGAATGCTGATCACCACAGATTTGATTTTCTGCAGATTCTATTCTGGTGTCTCATTTGGGCCCCACCAGAGCAGGCCATTTGTTGTCTGGATTGCACTTGAAATCAACACCTATGGAGTTTCCTGTCGTTCATCTAGATCCGCGCCTGGGGGCTGCTGGGCTGTACCACAGGGGGTCCATTGCTGTGCACCTCGAGGCCCGGCTGGTGGTTGTCCCAACGGTGTGTGGATTTGCAGGAAGAGCTGACAGGCCCGCCTGTCCCTGTTTTCCAATCTAGATTCTCATAGGCATCTCTTGACAAAGGTACTTAATGATGGCTCTGCTGGAAATTTCTAAACAATAAAGTACATGTCCAAAATGGTAACTGTGTTTAACTTTCCTCATAGTTTAAATCTAAAAATCAAGTGGACTTCACTAATTGTACATCTTCACTCTGTAACTTATGTTCCTAACGCTATATAATGAACATTCTCCCCCAAATACTACAAACTTCAGTCACAGCTTCTCAGTTTCTGTTTCTTCTTAGATGTCAACCCTAAGGACCCTGAGCTGCTTTTTGTCACTTGAGGTGGGAAAACTTCATGGATTCATTGAAATAGAATGTAGTTAAAATGAATACAGACCTTGGCTTTCTCGTGGAGGTGAAATAACTAACAGCTGCTTCCAGGGCTGGGGGAGCTGCAGAAGCAGCACTGGGAGGCCCGTGGGGACGGGGGCAGCGCCTATACGAGGGATTTCATTCATTGCCCCCGACTTTCCCAGATCCACATCAGTTTTCATGTGTGGTTTTGGAATTCAAAACTATTTTTCACCCAAAACTAAAATTTTTATGTTTTAAAGAAAATTTGGAAAACAAAGAAAGGACTCTTTCAGTTGGAAGAAATGGAAACCTACTCAAAGTAGCTTCAGTGGAAAAGAGGAATTTATTGCCTCGTGTGAGAGTTGATTGACGTCCTGGAGGGAAACTGGCTCCAGGCTGGCTTTGGTTCTCAGGGTCACTCTGTTAATGCAAAGCCCGTCTTGACCAGCTCCACGCCGAAGATTCCAGGGAATGACCTTTTTTTTTTTTTTTTGAGGAAGATCGGCCCTGAGCTAACATCCATGCCAATCCTCCTCTTTTTGCTGAGGAAGTCCAGCTCTGAGCTAACATCTATTGCCAATCCTCCTCCTTTTTTTCTCCCCAAAGCACCAGTAGATAGTTGTATGTCACAGCTGCACATCCTTCTAGTTGCTGTATGTGGGACGCGGCCTCAGCATGGCCAGAGAAGCGGTGCGTTGGTGCGCGCCCGGGATCCGAACCCGGGCCACCGGTAGCGGAGTGCACGCACTTAACCGGTAAGCCATGGGGGCAGCCCCCCAAGGAATGGGGGGACCAGCTACCTTGGTCCATGTGCCCCTCCCTGAGCCAGTTTCTGTGGTCCCGAGAATAGAGTCCTTTGGTTGGCCCTGTGCACAGAGTGTGAGGTAGAAAAGGGGCTTAGAATCGCCAGCCCCCTCAGAGCCATTGGAGAAGAAGCTGCCCCCCCACCCTGTAGGAAAGGGGGTTGGAGGTGGTGCTGCACCAACAAGCCACATTTGCCACAGGTGGCTCTTGAGAGAGGGCTAAGGGAGGGAATGCTGTGTTCAAGGTGGGTTGAGCCATTACTGGTTGATAACCAAGAGGCATGGAGATGCTCTGCATCTTCCCTGACCATGCAGACACGGGAACATACACGTCTTGTCTGGGAAACTAAACTTGCTGTAATTTATTATACGTAGGGTTTATTAAGTAGGTGGGGATTGAGAAAGTTATTCTAGATTATTTTGGTATTGAGTTTGCTGTAACACACCTAGAAAGCCTTCAGCAAACATTCGATAAGGACCCAGCATAAGCCACAGACTTCTAGGGAATGGGGAGTCAAGGGCTAATAAGATGTGATCACTGTCCTCAAAAAACCTACAGATGGAACTGCCACCGGCCAGTTTGGGGCTCACATCCTGTCCACCCGGCGGTGCTGGGCTTCAAAGAAGTATGTGGATGAGACATCAGAGGAGGGGATGATGCTGTTCTCTACCAAGTTGTGGGGGTGCATCTACCCACGTCTTCTCTGTGCCTTCTGAGGTCTGCCAGTATCTTCCCTTGGCCTTCATCATGCCCCCAAGCCAGGAAACCCCCCTCCCCAAGAAAGAGGAAGATGAAACTTACTGCCAGACACCCACCCAGCGCTCTTCCTTAAGAGGCCCGGGTCAGCTAGAGTTTCATACTGAGATTTCATTCTCTCACTTAAAAAAAAAAAAACACATATTGACATTTTTTGTCTCCTCCCCAATTTCGTCTGTCTTTGCTCTGAATGCAAATACTGGGGCATCCTCTCGAAGTCCTTTTGAAGATATTAAATTTCAAAACTTTAAAAACATCAAGAATCCTAGTGATACTTAGAACAAAGAGCACAAAAGTGTACATTACACAAAAGTGTAAAATACAAAAAAATATTCTGATTATCAAAGTAAACATGCTCGTGTGGAAAAGCTAGAAAATAAAAGTCAAGAAAATTTGAAATCCCCTGTAATCCTCTAACCAGAGTTAATCAGGCCTAATGTTCTGGGAGATTTTCTCACTGTCCTTTTCCTGAGAATACGTTTATGTGGTGGAGACGTGTGTGTGTATGTGTGTGGTTTTGGATCCTAACTTTTCCCCCTTCAGCATTCGAACGTGGTAATAAAGGTGCCTGGTGAGCCATGTGGTTGGTTCGTCAGTTCTCTTCCCAGCGCCTTCTTCATCAGTTCTCTGGATGGATGGTCATTGAGTTAACTACACTCAAAGCATTTAGATTGTATACAGTTTTTGGTTTTTAAAGATAATGCCACATAAGAAACATCCTTACCTAAGGAGAGTATTCCCCTCCCTCACCCTTGAATTTAGGCTTGTGTGGAATATTCTTAGGAGTGGGTGTTTTCCATGAACTTCAAGGGACTCATCCCCAGGGCAGAGTCCAAAGTGGTACACACTTTGGCTCCAGCACTTACCAGCTGGTGGGATCACTGAACGTCAGTGTTATCATCTGTAAAATGGGGCTAATAATATCCACTCATGGAATAATAGGATAATTGTGGGCAGTAAATGGGGGGAAAAAAATGTGTGTATGTGTGACTTAGCATAGCTCCTGGCAAGTAGCCTCATTTGTTGAGCACTTTCCATGATTATCTCTTTTTTAGAGCAGTGCTGATATATGATGCATGTTCAATAAACATTTAACCTGAAGGGGAAAATATGCCCTCGATATGCTGGATACAATATGAGAATGACACTTTGAGGCAACAGAACCATTTCCCAACACTTCTGAACATATTCTGCTAGGCAAAGCACACTGGTTAGATATTTTTTTTGTCAGTGGTAACTTTTTTTTTTCAGTCACAGTTTCTGAAATAAAAAGGCATTGGGTCCATTTACACTAGTCTTTATGAAGTAGGTCCAACTTAAAAATCACTTTTCAGGGGCCAGCCCGGTGGCGCAAGTGGTTAAGTGCGTGCGC